ATTAAGATTTCTATTTCCCTTCCTCATCTTGTTGCCAGTCCAAGTCTGTTGAGCAGTTTACAGTCTCTGTAAAGCATGCTTTAATCTGCACTGTAGTTTATTATCTGCAATTAGTCATTTAAACTGTTGGGGAGGTTAGGATGGGCAATAAAAGTGCTTTGAGAAATCTACTTAGGTCAGGCTTGTTCTGTCTTGGGTGGGTGCTTGATGTCCAGTTTGGTTCTTGGCTGGGTTGGAGCTGTTCTGGTCAGTGACTCCTGTCTAGGAAGCAGTTGGGGTATAGCTGCACGGGCATCATCTCCTGTTCTCACTTGTCTTTGCTGAGGTCAGGGTCTGCTGTCCTGTGCCCCCTGGGTGGGAACTGTGTGTATACAGTGAGCTCTTTGGGTCCAGGTGCCTGAGCACATTATGCCTGTTGCTACTCTTACAAGAGCAGGAGGTAGCAGCAGAGATGGAGTCGTGGTTTAAACCCAGCCAGTAACTCAGAACCACGCAGCTGCTTGCTCACTCCCCATTCCTGAGGGAATGGGTAGGAGAGCTGGAAGAATGTAACTCCCATGGGTTGAGAAAGAGCAGTCCAGTAACTAAGGTATAATACAAACCACTGCTGCTACCACCAATAATAACAATGATAAGGGAAATAACAAGGCGAGAGGATACAATTGCTCACCACCCAGCCCCACCCAAGCAGGGATCTGGCCTTCTGGGTGACTCCCCCCCATTTATATACTGGGCATGACGTGCTGTGGTATGGAATACTCCTTTGGCCAGTTTGGGTCAGGTGTCCTGTCTCTGCTTCCTCACAGCTTCCCCTCCTCTCTGGCAGAGCATGAGACTGAGAAAGTCCTTGGTTGGGGTTAAGCATTACTTAGCAACAACTGAAAACATCGGTGTTATCAGCGTTGTTCTCAGACTGAAGTTGAAAACACAGCACTGCACCAGCTACTAGGAAGGAGAAAAATAACTGTTACAGCTGAACCCAGGACAGATGGGCTTTCATTTCTTATAGGAAAAAGGGTTTTATACTGCCTGCTTTTTCTTTTATATTCACTCCTCCTGTTCTGTTTCAGTCTTCCCTGTTCTCTTTGCAGTATTCCCATTATTCTGGCACCCAGGGTGTAACATCTCTTTCTGGGGTACAGTTTTGCTATGTGGAAACATTGGTGAACTGTTAGTGGTTTCATTTTATAGACAGACTTCTAGTTCCACAACTTCTGATTGCTGATCAAAGTTTTAACATACGGTGCTGTAGATGATGGGTTAATTTTTGTCAGAATTGATACAATATGTTGAGCTTGTTGCCTTCTCTCCTGCCTCTGTCATGAAAAGAGGGAGAAGGCTAATGTTAGAATACAAAAGGGATCTCTGTGCTCACAGTGTTTTTACTACTGTCTCCTAGTGGAGGTGCGTAGGGAACGGCTGTCAGAGATCTATCAGCAGCAATCATGATAAGATTTTCAGTGTGCTTTGTACTGTCCAAGATCTAATTTGAGATTCTTGTTACCCAGTAATTGTATTAATAGTGAACTCAGTGATGTATGGCAAGGGGATATGCCTCTGTATCTTAAAAGAACGTGTCTACACACTGCACTTAGTTTTTAAGTTTTGGCTCCGTGGAGAAGGAAGTGCAGCGAGGACCACTGACATCCAGTTGTTTGCAGCATTTAGGCCTGAAGGTGTAAAGAATGCTTATTTGAAGTACTTACAATAGCTGAAACCATTGATGTCAATATTGAACAATAACCAAATTACTTGGTCACATGAAGCTCAGTAATTCCCAGTGGTAGTAGTTCTCATCCCCAAATAATGTTAATGAATTTTTCTCTATTTTCCATTCATCTCTACATAAGCTGTCTGCACAACTGTATGCAGCAGGAGAAAGGATCAGTCCTGCCAAGTTCCCCGTCCTTTGGGACTGGATCTTCAGCTGGGGGAGCTTGTGTACCTGGCAAACTGTAGATACTTGCTGCCTGGATTTGCAATTTAGAAATGGAAAGACTAGGCCAAAGTTTTAAGGAGTGTGACTTTCCTTTTCAGAATAACCAAGGCCTGTATTCCTTCTACAGAAAAACTCAATTCTCTGCATTCTGTATGAATTGATTGACTTGTATTCCAAAGATCAGTTCTGCTTTGTAAGATAGTCTAGCAGTTGTTGTATTCAAAGCCCTTGTGCCTGAAAGATGGTGCCAGGCATATGCTGCATGTTGTGCATATCTTTTAGAACTTCCCTCGAGTGCCTCAGGAGTGCAACAGTCAGTTGTGCCCGTGACCTTAATTACTGACACATTAGTCTACTTTTTTATTTTTTCATATCCCGTACTATTTCCTTTCTCTTTCCTTGCCATTCCCTCTTTCAGTGAATTGCACAGAGTAAAACAACAGTATGGGTTTTGCTCTTCTAGTAGTAGTTACAAGCAGCATAGCAACATTTTAACTTTTTAAATGTATGTACATCTGTATATTTGTTTTAAATTCTGTCCCTGCAGATGGAGGAGAAAAGCTGTTGCTAAATAGGTGGGTCTTTTTACACTATGAAAGTTGATGGCATTAAGAATCAAGATGTGATCGTTTGCCTTGTATATAACTGAGTTGAATGTGTTCCTGGTTGCTCAAGAGGATCTAAGGATAATTTGGATGGGAGAGATGCTGTTAGAGGTGCTATCTGAAAAAATTATCTCTGAAAAAATCATCAAATGTTGGGGCAATGTGACTGTCAGAGTATGTTAAGGAAAGATAATTTTTGCCTGAACATTTTATGGGTGCAAATGAGTAAGTAGGAAAAAAATAGAAAATGGCTTTGAGTAATAAATTACACCACTCACATATGTTCATCACTTGCTGGCTGTTCTTTTATCTGTGATGCCAGTTTGTAATGTTTCCATTAACTTCATTGTTATGGAGAAATTAGATCTGCAAATCCTCAAGTTTCAATACATCATTATTCTTTAATATTTATACTAGAGGTGATAAATATAGTTGTTACTGTGTTGGATGTTATTCATCTGTTTGCAAGTTGTTGGTGTAGAGTATTGGGCTTGCTTAAAATTAGTAAACCTGATCTTAACACTTGCCCAGATCTTGATGTATGCAAGACTCTTGTGTTGGCAAGGTATAACTTTGTCAGTTGTTAATTCAAGGGACTAAAGCATGTTTTACATAGCTTGCTTATTTTAATGGGAAAGCATGTGCTAATACTGCTGCTTTCTTTGGTTAGTGTGAATATTTCTTATTCTTTGAATTCTTAAAATGTGAATCATGAACATGTAAATAAAAAATACTCAGATATCAAATAAATTTGCCATTTATGTTTAGATTTCTTCATAGATACGCTATTGTTACACATGAAAACATATAAGTCTTTCATATATATGCCAAAAACACAGTATGTATTACTAACTCGTGGAACTGAAAAACAGTTACAAAAGGTGTTCATGGTTATTTCCTTTTGGAGAATAGATTACTGAGTGCTATTTATATACCTAAACAAGCAGTATCTGAACAATTCCTGTCAGTGAACTATTGTAGCTGCCCATGATACTTATCTACAGGTTTACTTTATTTTTACTTTTTCAAAGCTTGTTGATACTAGATGTCTAGGTGGGAAGTGAGGTGAAATGGAGACCTTGGAGTACTTCCATTAATTTGCTTAGGGACCTGAAGAAACTTGCTCAGTTTCTAATGCCCATTTTAGGAAGGTGCTACAATAGGATTAACTCTTTGTCACTTGAAATGGTGCAGGCTTCATATGGTTAAGATGTTTTGGAAAGGTTTGCAAATATTAGATCTGAAAGCTCATCAGATTATTTAATTATTTCAGTTCATTCGGAGGAAGCAGGGCCTCTTCTCCAACCAGTTTCTGTTCTCAGTTGGGATTTTGTTGAGTTTGCTGGGGGTTATTTTGGTTTTTGGTTTACTTTGTTTTCATTCTTCCATCATTGATGTGAAATTGTAACCTGGCACAAAATACTGGCTATTTTTAGACTAACAGGAATGTACTGCACACAGTCCTTTTTTAAAAAAAACCAACTACAACTTCCTACAAAAAAGTAATCTTCTTCAGAAAAAAATACGTATTTCCTCAAGCTAAAAGCCTTTTTCTAAATTCCAGTGTTTTCGGAATAAAACTTAGTCTTACTGATCTTTGTTGTTAAAAGAAGTTGTGTTCTTACATTGCAATTAGTCACAGTTATGTAGCTGTGAAGCTGCGTATGCAGCTATGCAGGCTTAACAGCATTATCTTGAAGGTTATACAGATGGGTTTAGCCTGTTTAACTTGAGTATTTTTAAGTCCAGTAAGTGAAAGACATGAAGAAAAAAAAATAACCACTGATTCAGACTACTTAAATTGGATTGAAATGTCAAGCTGATCAGTTTTTCAAATGAAGTAGGTAGTCTTTGCTGCTGGTAGTTTCCAACGTTTTCACCTTGGTCAATTGGTAGACATTATTAAAGCAGCAGTATTTTGCTTCTAGTTACACCTTAGTGGTTGGGTGATGATGAGAGAGTCTAGAATTAGATTCAATGGTAGTTTTCTTTGGATTTTATTAATAAACATACCAGGTTCTTGAGTTTATTTCTGCTTCAGCAAACAAATAAAAGAAGTATAAAGCTATTAGAAGGGGGACAGTGTGGAACCTTAGCTTGGTTTAGCAGTAATCCATGCAATCTGTGCTTGTAATGTGGTTTAGTTCCACTAACGTGACTCCGCATCATCAAAAGTAATTAAGTGGAAACCTAAAAATAAAGTAGAAATTGGAAGAAATGTTTTCTGTAGAAGTGTTGTGTAACTGGGCACTGACAGAGGAGGTGTTGGTCCTGACCTGCGGCTTCTACCTATGTTGGTGTGGAAGTTCAGTGTTTGCCTGAAGTTTCTACAGAGTGTGTTCTCTGAAGCTGTGGTGCAGTATCATCTTTGCATGGTGGACTTAGTGCTGATGTGAGGTTGGATCTTTCTGGTCCAAATGCAGACTGCTGTATCTTAACACGATTTATCTTTCTTCCTTTTTGAGGAGTGGCATATCCGAAAAGTGGATGTTCAGGATAACATGTCCAATGTGTCGGAAGAGAGAAGCACTAGACAACAGGACATTAAGAAGGGACTCCAGTTTATAGAGTATGATTTTGTGGTTTTATTCTTGTATGCTTATACATGTATGTACATGACATGGACAGCTCTGGGAAAGTCCTTTTAATATACCACCAATGGAGGAAGGAGAAAGAGGAGGACCTGTGTTTCTCCTCAGAATATTTGCTAACACTAATATAGAAATGGGGAGCAGTCTTGGAGAAAAGACAGAACCCCTCGTTGTTCCAAAACAGAGCAGATTGAAAGTGGGAGGGTATTCCTTTTCTGCCTTTGAGAAATACCAGCACTGAATTTTTCTGGTGGGTGGAAAATGTTGATAGCCTGAAAATCCACCTTATACTTCTGGACAGCTACATATAAGACTAGGTTGCTACTGAAAGGGATGAGTTTGTCACAACCACCTAAATGTTTCAACACTCTGGAGCTAAAAGTTAACCTAATGAAAAATTACCTTAGTAGTTAATTTTTATTTGTGTCTATGCCAGATTCTTCTCCAGATTCTTCTCAAATCGATCTAAGACAGCTTAAAATTATTGCAAAATTTCACACTAATTCACTGCTCACATAATGCATTCTTAAAAGAAAATAAAATCCAAAACAACAAAAAACCCAAGGAAAAGAAAACTGCCCTTTTAAAAATCATTTTGAAACAGATTCTCAGATATGGTAGGGAAAAGGGTTCCTGTTTTTCTTCCTGAAAAGTTAGAAGTAAACACCTTTGTTCTGTGCTAGAGAAAATCTGTTTTCTGTCATTCAAAAGAACTCTTAAAATTCCTGTAGTATCATTGGTATGGCTTAATTAATATTGATGTGTTCTTTTGACAGATAATCTGTCACTTGAAAATACTTTCAAGAAGACTGCAGTCCTCCTCATGTATAATCTGTTTCTCTACAGTGGAGGGGAGAAAGGAAATTGTTTTTAAATTGAGGTTTTAAAGCATTCAAAACCTTAATATATTTTGAACAGCAGACTTAAGGCTGCCTGTGTAACTTTAAATGAAAATGAGTCATCAGTAAGAAGAAAACACAGTTGTTTAATCAAAACTAATCTACAGCACTCCCCCCTTGTTCAGGGCAGGCAGTAGACAGTATCGAGAGCTTTGACTGTTGCAGCAAGTGAGATTGCTTTTATTAAGAACCCGTATTCTCCAATGTGATCGTCTTTCAAGCAATATATATAACAAATTCTGGAATTTTTTTTTCTAGATCTACTTTGCCCTATCCAGGGACGCAAGAACAATATGAGGTAATGAAATTACTTCTGCATTTCCAGAGGAGTTTTTAATGTGGGCCTATCTTATTTTATTCTTGTTTTTAATCATTTAAGTAATGATATAGTATGAATGGTAATTTACAGTATCTCAATATTGGAACAGGAGGACTACTTACATTGTGATACAGGTGTTCAGATATTTGATGCCCGTAATTCACTCCTGTAGCAGTTCAGATTAACTGTTTCTCTGTTGGTGTTAGGGATGAATTTGGGGCATTCACTGGATAAAACAATATGCTATTTCTGAGTAAAATTTAGGGTAGCAGAGCAAAAGTGAGATAAAAGGACCTCAGTCACATAAATCTTCAAAGCATGCTTTGTTTCTGTACATATTGTTATTTTGCATAATTTTTTTCTTATACTTTCAGACTAATCTTTTTAGCATTTTTATTCAATGGTAGGTGGTTTCATTGGATTTGAGTACATATTAGATAAAAATGCAATCTTTCACATTTTACATTTAAAAAAGCATTTAATTTGCAACCTTTATATACTAGTGGTTTGCCAGTTGCTATGGCTGCTACTCGCTAAAAGAGTCTATGGAACATACATGTCTTTTTTTAAAGTTACTTATACAAAGAATTCTATCATCAGTAGTTCAGCTGCTCTTTTATTTACTTGTATTGGGGTGTTGAATAGTAGAGATTGTCTTGGACAAATGTCAGAAATAAAATACTAATAAAGACAAAAGTTTGGCATTTCATTTTGATTCCCTGAAGCCACAAGTATAAATTTTCTATTTAAAAATCTGTTTGGAAACACAAGAGGTATACAACTAAACTGCTGCTGATGGGTGTTTGTTTTCTTTGTTGCAGTTATTTATACGAGGGCTTGTTAGAAATCTTTTTAATGAGGGGAATGATGTATATCGAGAAGGTGACTGGAGAGGATCACTGAGTCACTATACAGAAGCTATAAACATAGCAGATTATGCTAATTCTGAAGAAATCCATGTTTCTGATGATATTTTAGAGAAGCTGCACGTGAACAGGATAGCATGTTTTTCAAATATGGTAAGCTTCTGTTTAAACTGCATGATTTCTCTACACCAGTGTGCTAACAGAGTGTGAAGGCATAGAAAGTTTCCTAGTGAGTGAAAAGCTTTTGGTGTTGGGTTGAGAACTGGCATGTTTCAAATCATCATTTTGCCATATTCATTAATATCTTCCTTTTACAAGTATAATTCTTGAGATATTTTTGGTTACTAATACTAGACTATTAATATAAAAAGAGTTATACTAGGCTTGGAAGTTGATGGACCAGTATTTTTATCCATTTGTACTGCTGATTGCACCCGAGCCTGCTGCTTTCTCTGTGGAATAAGATGGCTCTTGCGAAAGAACTAAATTGTCTTCATAAATATTACTGGATTTTACATGAATGACATCCCTGCTTGTTTTTAATTGCATAAGTTATTGACTAAGCAAAACTCATACATGCAGTGTGAGTGCCCTTGCTGCATATTTTACATTGTTTCAGGACATTTATTTAATAGTTTCAGTTCAGTGTTTTGATGATGTCTGATTAATGCCTTTTTTCCTGGTTTTTTTTTTTCCCCTCCTCATAGGGATTGCATGAAAAAGTTCTAGAAGACTGTGAAATAGCATTAAGATTGAATGAAAACAATTTCAGAGCTCTCTATAGGAAAGCAAAAGCTTTGAATGAATTGGGAAGGTACAAGAAGGCTTATGATGCTGTAGCAAAATGTTCTCTTGCTGTGCCACAGGTAGGTAAATTATATATTGATGATTGTTTTTAAATATTTAATACAGAAAACAAATACTTATATCAAGACCGTTGAAGGTTTTTTGCTTTTTCTTTTTTAATACAGTATTTTTTATTCTTCTAAGAATTATTTTTTGTTATGGAAGTGAAAACTGACAGAGGTTATCATCCCCAAGCTCAGTTTGTAGTGTTAACTTTAAGCAAAAGAAATGGTCACTTTGCAGTGGGGGTCAAGTGCCATAAACTTTTGCAATAAACAGTGGAACCACTGAATTAATAATTTCAAATTCTCCGCAGTCAGAGGTATACTTACAGCATAAAGAGAACAACCACTCGTAATGTACAATATTGATTCTTTTGAAAACTGTATTTTAGGTTTCCAGGCATCTAGTAGCATTCTTACCTCTGCATTGTCCTCATCTGAATCACTTGCTATGCACCTTTACTCTTAGGCTGTATCTATATTAGCAAGCAGATTGTGGTATAATAGGAGAGGATCTGTAAATTTAAATGCTGGTCCTGAGGATCCCATGGTTGTTCATGGTGGTTTTGTTTGTGTTTCTTTTGGTGTGTGTTTTGGTTTTGGTTTGATTTATGTGTTTTCATTTTGGTTTTCTTTTTTTTTTTTTTTAAGTAGACTACTACAGCACTTTCAATTTAGTTTCATCCAAAATTAATCTAATTTGGCTCTCTGAGACCTTCATAATGCAAACTAAAATGCAGTGAGTAAGGGTGTTACAGAGATTTCATTTCAGAAATGCATTTCAAATTTGAACTAAAATGCTGATGAAAACTTTACATGCTTTGCTCAAAATAGACTGGTCACAGGACAGAATATTATATCAAAATTACAGCTAGACAAACTGTTGAGTATATGTTTATCTCTTGATTTAGAGAGGGTTTCAGTTGTGCTTCCAAAGACATAAGTGGTTTATCTGAATGTGTAACCTTGGAGTTTTGGATTTTCACTTTGCACCTCTAGATCTGAATGTTTTCACCTCAGGTTTATATGCCTCAATATACGTTTTATAAATAGCTTTTTCTAGCTCTAGGACACATTCTGAAAGCTAAATCTTAAAATAATTTAAATGGATAATTATTATAACTATAGACCAGAGTGAAGTATGACCAGGCTTTTAACTTAACTTTTCTAATTGTATGATGCAATTACTGCTAACATATGGAGTTGCCATTAAGTATTCAGTAGTGTTGTGTAGTAACGGACATTATGGTAATCAGAAATGTAGCTCTCAATTTGCGTAAAAACAAACCTCAACCCCCCCATCCCCTCAGAGAACAAACACCCTCCCCAAATGACCAAACGAAAAATACCCACCCACAAACCCCCTCACTTCTCTGGTTTTGGAAAAATCTTTACATTGTTTTAAATTCAGTTAAATGAAAGAGAAGGATACTGTCCATTTTATGGCCTTTTTTTTTTCTTCTTCCTTTAATTCCAAGTATTTTGGAAGTTTTGCTTGAGGGTAGTTGTATTTTTCAGCATTTGCTTACAGACCCATATGTTTGTGAAAGAATAAAACTGCATTAAGAGACATCCTGCACATAGGAATATTGCAGAATACAGACTGAGATGTAAACAGATATCTTGACAAGATGACAATACATGTAAATTATGAAACTTTATTTATGTCTTTTAGGATGAAAGTGTGATTAAGCTTACCCAGGAACTAGCTCAAAAACTAGGGTTAAAAATAAGGAAAGCATATGTAAGAGCAAAGGTAAGATTTTATTTTAACATTGAGGTTTCCCTGTCTTAATAACCACTTTGTATTTAATGAAGTCATCTTCTCATTGCAGCCACCCTCCTCCAATTCAGTTTCCAGCGACGTATCGACTCAGGTAAGGTTTGACATTCTCAAAGTGCAAGCTGACTTTAGAGTACGGGGAATAATTGTTTCATAATTTCATGATGATGAAGTGAAAATGGTGCAACTGACATTTTATGTAAGATGCTGTTATTTTGGGCTTTAGGGTTCTGTTGATCTTTGTGTTCAGTTTTGCTGTATATTTAAGGCAGACTAGGATGTAAGATCCAGGCTATCTTTGTAGAATAAATGTTAGCTAAAACGTTAAATCCAGTGCAATGAATATATTTACTTTTAATGCCTTGAGGCAAGGGCATAGTTAATGTGTTTATTTATTTATTTATTTCACTTTGTTGATGGTTATCAAAGTGAAGGATGCTGCGATAAAATCCCTTTTGATTTATGCATTTGTCCAAATATGACCTATATTAGCAGGTGAACTTGCATTTATCTTCCTATTTGTAGTGTGTCTGAGCAGCAGTAATGAAGAGGAGCTCATCTTACAGACTTAGTTGAAGGGAGTGTAGACAATTTAGCTGTAAATGAATGAGGAAATGTAGGAACAGCTCATTTAAGGCCCTGTTTAGACTTCTTCATTCCTTGAAGTGGTTGGTTGCAGAATTTTAGTGACCTTGTGAGTGGATTTCAGTCTGCAAGTGGATGCTTTGTCTAAAAAAACCTCTAAATTCCATTAGACTTCACAAATTTAAGATTTTATAAAATCTAACTGTGAGGATTTACATTCTTAATCTGTGAATATTTATTTGAAGATTTTTAATGGCTCTTGTGTAAAGTGCTGAGAGGTATTTTTTTTCTCACTTACAGAATTCTTCTTCTGTAGAAGATATTGAGTTAGGTGAGTCTTGTGTTACAACCTAGGAAGCTAGGTATGCCATGCATGTGTGTTGTATTTGTTAAGAAAATTAATCTTATGTGAACGATCTGTGGTAAAACCTCTGATATGTTTATCTCTAAAACTACGTATTTAAGTGGCTGAGCAAATTCCCTTTCAGTCTCCTCAGCTTGATATGATTGTAACCACTCCTATAGCATTTGTCTCATACAGTTCTCTTTAACTTGGAAAAATAGGGAGGGGAGAATATGCTAGAGATTTAGTGGAGTATCAGGTCTGTAACTTTTGCTGTCTTTTTTAATTTGTGTAATATATAAACACTTGAGATACAGGTACATGTGAACTGAAAGTTAATGGAAGCTGAAAATATTTAATGTGGCTTTGCTTAAACATTCTTCATGTTTCTCCCCTCCCTCACCCCTCAGGGTAAAACTTATGCGAGGTATTTTTACATCTTTGAACAAAAGTTCCAGTCATTTCCATCTTAACTGTTCCAGATTTATCTGACCAGAAGCAAGAGATGGTTTCTGCTGCTGCTTCAACAAATTTTGAAGCGTCTAAGGTGTCATCAGTACCTGTACCATCTTTATCTTCTATTATGCCTCTTCAAGTGGAAAAGGTTTCTTTGCCATCTGCAGTGTTGGCAAATGGAGGGAATGTTTCTTTCTCTATGCCAGAAGCATGTTTAGATTGTGGAGATGGAGATATAATTATTGGGGAAGAACTTGATGAATTACTTGATTCTGTGCCTGATCCAGATGAAAGTGTAATGGTAAGACTTTGTTTTCATTTTCAAAAGATTGTCCTTGTGAGTAGGATCTTGTATTTTTATCAAGTGGGCTAGCAGTTAAATGTGAGTTACCTTTCCTCGTTATGCTGAGCTATACGTGTGCACAGTTGCGTTGATTTTCTCAGGTGCAGAGTCTTGCAAATGTGGCTGTAGAGATACCAGAGCCCAGCAGAGCTCCAGGGACAATTACATTGCTTTTGTGTGATGGAAAACCTGAGTGAGGTTGCTGGGGGAGGGATACTACTTCAGAAATACTGCTACGCTACTACCGGTACTACCACAGTGGGAGGGATACTACTTACAGGAAAGAGTGACATAGACTTGCAGTCTGGGCTAGTATGTTGGTTTTTTTGGGAGGGGTTTTTGTTTTCTTCTGTGGGGGTATTTTTGATGCAAATAAACCCCCTCAAAAGCTGAGAGTGTGTTGGAGTGCTGACCCTGTAGGAGTAGACACCGTAGTTAAACATATGCCATTAGCCTTGCAGGAAAGTAGTACTTGTTCCATGGTCTTGTAATGCATTCACTAGTATCTCAGCAATCAGAGCTTTGTCCAAGTCCACCTCCTGGATAGCCAGAAATAGTTACACCATAATGAGTCTAATTTTTAATACTTTTTAGAAGAGATTATTAATTTAGGCACATGAAGAGTTGTTCTTAATTTACACTATCATTCCAGAGCTAGAACAGACACTGAAGCATACAGTTGCTCAACTATTAGTCAAGATGAGAGCTCTGATTGATGAGCAAAGATGTCTGAACTTATTAGCAAGGTTGCTGACTGTCTGCTGTGGCCCTCTTGGTCATTTGGAGCCCTTAGTATTGCAATGTTAAATGAGGCTGTGGCATATTTAATTCTTCATTTAGTTGTGATTTCAATTCCTCATTCAGATGTGGATGCAGTTGGAAATCTTAAAATAAAAAATGCTTGGACTTCTAAATTTCTGTTTTATGCACTTTGTTTTGTAGAAAGTATTTTGGAAATGTAGCAAGTAATTACTTCTAAAAGAGCCTAGGAAGTTTGCTGTAGTGAAAACCAGGAGGAAATACAATCTTCCAAGATTGAGTGCAGTCCTGTGTAGTGTAGAATCTTGAGTGAGTTGTAGGCTGACAACTTGGGGAACATAGGGAATTTCACGTTGGCCAGACTCTGTGCAGATGTATTTGTTCAACCTCCAGATAAGGAGGGAGCCTCTTGGGATGACAGAGAGAGAGGGAAGGAAAATTCCCCCACTTGATATATGGCCTTAGCAGAGATGCACAGAAGGATAGGTTATTTTTCAGGGGTGGGTGGGAGAAGGTGATCTGCCCTTTGCAGAATATGGTATCATTTTATTGTTTCTGAGGATTTATTTCAAAGCTAACTCTTTACTGTACTGCAATTTGAATTCTATTTAGAAAAAAAATCATGTTGATTCCTGACTCTTCCTACTCTTCCCTCTTGTCTTATATTTTTAACATAATTTGGAAATTTAGCTCTGATCTGATACATGAATAAATCCAAAACTGTTAATAAATTAATGAACTTCAGCTAACTGAACCACTGAAGTGGTTGATTCGTGGGTAATTCCTTGCATTAGGACAGGTTTAGAGTTTGATCACTGTAGTTCTCTGAGCGCACTGTAGCTGTTCAGTGCTGCAGTACTGTAGTGTGCCTTTTGTTGTTGTTTTTCAGTAGGTTTATAAAATACTGTTGCAGATTGTGTTCTTGAGAGGGTTTTTTTCCTGTGTGAACATTTTTCTTTAAATCTCCTTTTTTCCAGCAAACTGCAGGAGTCAGAGGACCGATTCCCACAGGAAGCGTAGCTCCTACTGTACCTTTCTCTGCCTCCTTGTTGGGGACGCTCCCAGTTAGTGCAGGATTTGTTCCTTCACCTTCTCTTTCAGAAATCTTTTCACAGCCTTTGGCTTCTTCACTGGAAAATTTTTGCTCACCATTAAGCACCTTTTCAATCAGTGACCCAAAAAGAGGTAAGAAATTAGTCTCAGTATTTAACCTTTTATGATGAGAGTTCTGCATGAGCCAACTAGCTTCTTCTTTTAAATGAGTTTTCACAACTATTCAGTATTATTTAACACTTAAATAACATTTGATCTGTGCTCGCAATTTTTAAGAGTATTGATAATCAGCATTGGTTGTACACAAGAATTTATAAATAAAGCTTTTGTTTACTTGGGGTCTGCGTAAGTATGCTCCAAGCTCCCTCTGTTCAGTTTTTACTGCATTTATTGTGCAAGTTATTTGTTTCTGGTGAGTAAGTAGGAAGAAGGAACCATGTTCTTCCAAACTTTTTTTTCTTTAAACAAAGGTGTTCTTAAGCTTAAACCATTTCTCATGATTTAGCAATAAACAAGAATTCTAAAAGGCTAATAAAACTGTGTGTGCTCTGAAAAGATACCAGTAATACATGTTTGAATGTATTTAGTTTGAATGAACTCTGGGGGCTGTTACTATGTAGGG